ATGCAAGGCACACTTAGGAGATATTTTAACAAGACAAGTATCCCATAACGATTTTGCTTCAGAGTCTTCGACTGAATATACAGGAACAAATGCACAAACCAAGGCTACAACAATGAATAGATAGTAACTTGGGAGTTAAATTGAGCCATAACTGCTTATATGTAAAAGATTACTGCCTAAATATTTCTTATATGAAAAGAATGGAATAGAAGTATGTTTTGTATTTGATATTCTAGACACAAGGCTATGTAAGGTATTTATAAGTAATTCAAAACCCAACGTAGCTATCAAAACATAATATAAATATAACGTAAATAGTGAGAAGGAGTTTCATTTCTTGGTATATAAATACACAATGAACGTTTAACTTTTTCTTTCGAATTAACATTTGAAATTTAGTAGTAAATTTAATAAAAGTACGGATATCTTCTTTAATATGAAAACTTTTATATTTTTTCTTTTTAAATCAGGTAACTTATAAGCAAAACTATTCAATTTGAGATTAGTATATGACATATATAGATTTTAAATATAGTAAACTAAGTTTTCAATATTCTATACTTATAAATATGTATATATATATATATAATTTTATATATAAAAGGTGACCTCATAATTTTTGTTTTATAAAAATTTAACTAAAATCAAGCGTCCAATAAAGTTTTTATCTAAACGAGTAAAACAAGTCACTAATATGTTTATAGTACAACGTTATAAGGCACTAAAATAAGGTTAATTCAAGTATCTCCAAAAAGAAGATGAGATCCACATGTGTTGTATATATATAAAAGTTGTGCTAAATACTTTTAGAATAAATAGAAAAAGCTTACAGTTTATTGACAAGTTTGTAAGACATAGATATATTGATGGTTGGCTATTAATTATTACAAACAAAAAAATATTAGAGGGGTAATAAAACTACTTAAAGGATTCCTTACTATGGAGAAGAGAAACTAATTTGTAAAATCAAATTATAACATAACTTTAAATCATAGGTTAAAATCATGGTAAAAAATAAGAACTAGTTAAAATTGAGCGAGGTTAATGGTTAAGTAGGCAATAATCTCAATGTTAACCTAATCCACTAGCTCTAATCAATGTTTTCCACCGCTAGTCCATTCTAACAGTAATTTACTGATAAATTTCTTGTAGATACATGATTGGATCTTCAGTTTATTTGAATTAGCAAAACCTCTTCGAGTTTTTGTTTCACTTTCAAATTTGGTTGATATATTGTGTGTTTAAATTTAATTTTGGTGATTAGTATAAGATTTTGAGTTAAGGAACTGGAGCTTAAGATAAGATAAAAAATTTGTATATTTTCTTGTTTCTTGAAACTGAGAAAAATAATATATGTCACTATCCATAATAAAATGTAGAAATGTGATGGAAGTATACAATTGGTGACAAATTTATACATAAATAGAAATAGAAATTTAGTCCACAAATATATATTTCTCATTAATATATAATTTTATGATTATATTTATAATTTATATAAGATCATATTTTTCTTTTCTTTTTTGAAAAAGTTAAAAAGTTTGGTTATTCATCTCTAAGGAGATTCATTTTCATTTATGTTTTCAAAAGTTAAATTAATGGATAGTTTGGATATAATTAATGGTACAACAATTAAATTATTTGATCAAAATATTTTAAGCAGTTTTAGAGATTGCGACACAATGACTCCACAAGTCGTCACTCTTCTTCAAGTATTGTGTTTCACGAGCAATTAAGGCTGGTCTATCAGCAATATATTTAATAAGATTATCATGACACACTTTTCCTTCTTGAACAAGATCGTGGCAACAAGAATCAGTGATGGTTGCATTTCCAAAAACAACAGCGACTATATCCAAGGCACACTTCGGAGATATTTTAACAAGACAAGTATCCCATAACGATTTTGCTTCAGAGTCTTCGACTGAATATACAGGAACAAATGCACAAACCAAAGCTACAACAATGAATAGCATAGTAATTTGGGAGTTAAATTGAGCCATAACTACTTATATGTAAAACTTTACTGCCTAAATATTTCTTATATGAAAAGAATAGAATAGAAGTATGTTTTGTATTTGATATTCTAGACACAAGGCTACCTAAGGTATTTATAAGTATTTCAAAACCCAACGTAGCTATCAAAACATATTATAAATATAACTTAAATAGTGAGAAGGAGTTTTACTTATTAGTATATATATACATAGTGAACGTTTAAAATTTTCTTTAGAATTAATTTTAAAATGTAATAGTAATTTAATACAGGTACAGATATCTTCTTTAATATGAAAATTTTATATTTTTTTCGTTTTAAATCAGGTAACTTATAAGCCAAATTATTCAATATGAGATTAGTATATGACATATATAGATTTTAAATATTGTAAACTAATTTTTTAATACTCTATACTTATAAATATTTTTATATATAATTTTTTATATAAGAGGCTACCACATAATTAATTTGTTTTTAAATTTTACTAAAAAATCAAGCGTCCAATAAAGTTTGTATCTAAACGAGTAAAACAAGTCACCAATATGTTTATAATACAACGTTATAAAGCACTAAAAGAACTTTACTTTAAGTATCTCCAAAAAGAACATGAGATCCACATGTGTTGTATATATATAAAAGATGTGCTAAATACTTTTTGAATAAATGGAAAAAGCTTACAGTTTACTGACAAGTTTGTAAGACATAGATATAATGCAGGTCGGCTATTAATTATTATAAACAAAAAAAAATTAGAAACTAATTAAGGATATATATGTTCTAACAAGAGGGGTAATAAAACTACTTAAAGGATTCCTTATTATAGAGAAGAGAAACTAATTTGTAAAATCAAATTATAACATAACTTTGATTTATAGGTTAAAACCATGGCAAAAAATAGGAACAAGTTAAAATTGACTAATTGGGCGAGGTTAATGGTAAAGTAGGCAATAATTTCAATGTCAACCTAATCCATTAGCTTTAATCAATGTTTTCGCTAGCTAGTTTATCCTAACAGTAATTTACACATAAATTGCTTGTAGATACATGATTGGATCTTCAATTTATTCGAATTAGCAAAACCTCATCAAGTTTTCGTTTCACTTTCAAATTTTCTGTTGATATATTGTGTATTTAAATTTGTTTTTGGTAATTAGTATAAGGTTTTGAGTTAAGGAACTGGAGCTGAAGAATAAGATAAAAAATTTGTATATTTTCTTCTTTCTTGAAACTTAGAAAAATAATATATGTCACTATCCATAATAAAATGTAGAAATGTGATGGAAGTATACAATTGGTGACAAATTTATACATAAATAGAAATAGAAATAGAAATTTAGTCGACAAATATATATTTCTCATTAATATATAATTTTATGATTATATTTATAATTTATATAAGATTCATTTTCATTTATGTTATGAAAAGTTAAATTAATGGATAGTTCGGATAAAAATAATGGTACAGCAATGAAATTATTCGATCAAAATATTTTAAGCAGTTTTAGAGATTGCGACACAATGACTCCACAAATCGTCACTCTTCTTCAAGTATTGTGTTTCACGGGCAATTAAGGCGGGTCTGTCAGCAATATATTTAATAAGATTATCATGACACACTTTTCCTTCTTGAACAAGATCGTGGCAACAAGAATCAGTGATGGTTGCATTTCCGAAAACAACAGCCACTATATCCAAGGCACACTTAGGAGATATTTTAACAAGACAAGTATCCCATAACGATTTTGCTTCAGAGTCTTCGACTGAATATACAGGAACAAATGCACAAACCAAGGCTACAACAATAAATAGCATAGTAATTTGGGAGTTAAATTGAGCCATAACTGCTTATATTTAAAAAATTACTGCCTAAATATTTCTTATATGAAAAGAATGGAATAGAAGTATGTTTTGTATTTGATATTCTAGACACAAGGCTATGTAAGGTATTTATAAGTAATTCAAAACCCAACGTAGCTATCAAAACATATTATAAATATAACGTAAATAGTGAGAAGGAGTTTCATTTCTTGGTATATAAATACACAATGAACGTTTAAATTTTTCTTTAGAATTAAATTTTAAAATGTAGTAGTACAATTAATACAAGTACGGATATCTTCTTTAATATGAAATCTTTTATATTTCTTCGTTTTAAATCAGGTAACTTATAAGCCAAACTATCCAATTTGAGATTATATGACATATTTAGATTTTAAATATAGTAAACTAAATTTTCAATATTCTATACTTATAAATATATATTTATATATATATATAATTTATGTATAAAAGGCTACCTCATAATTAATTTGTTTTTTTAATTTGACTAAAATCAAGCTTCCAATAAAGTTTTTATCTAAACTTGTAAAAAAAGTCACCAATATATTTATAGTACAAGGTTATAAAGCACCAATATATTTAAGTATCTCCAAAAAGAACATGAGATCCACATGTGTTGTATATATAAAAGATGTGCTAAATACTTTTAGAATAAATGGAAAAGGCTTACTGACAAGTTTATAAGGCATAGATATATTGTTGGTCGGCTATTAATTATTACAAACAAAAAAAAATTAGAAACTAGGGATATACATGTTCTAAAAAACCATTCCCTAATTTTCCACCTACCAACCAAAAACACATGTAATATTGGTTTTAGTCACAAATCTTGGAAGTCTGTAGAGTATCTTTGCTTTTTTATGGATCGATTCCAAATATATTATTTCCGGTTAAGTGTATCGGATTAATAACTCGGGCAATCAAAATCCTTTTTCCTAAGATTGCAAATCATTCTTCGCATATTAGTCACAATCTGAGTCATTGAATCCAATCATCTATATTAACATTTTTGAAGTACCTTTTATGTTCTACCCTTTTATTTTGTAATATTTTCACAATTAAACCTATGCCATTTGATTAAATAGAAAAAGTTTAGTCACCAAAAAAAAATAGAAAAAGTTTAAGATAAATTTTGTAATTAAATCATAATAAATTTGAAAAATTAGAAATCAATATTTATTACATTTAACAAAATTTCCTAAAATCTCTCCCAAATAAACCAAATATTTCTCCAACATCTTTATATGATCTTATTTGTTTTTAAATTTATATTATTACATAAACATATGTATAATAAAAATATAATTTTTTTTTATTTGTTGCAATTTGAATTTTTAGAAACGGATGTATATTGCTCAAATGATACAAAAAAATGGATGTACTAAAGTAATATTGATAATTGTGTAGCACGGGTCATGTGATGGAACGGGTTATAATTTACATAATTATGATTATAGATATTTTTACGGGTTATCTACTATATAATATAACTCACAAAATATTTTAATATGAAATTATACTATGTAAACAAATATTATGTCAATATCATTTCATTATTTTAAATATTTTAATTATTTAATTAATTTGATCAAATTACGTTTATATAAAAAATAAATTATCATATAATATTCTACGGATTAAATCATAGAATTAACAATCAAAATATAGTAGTACACTCTTATATACCAAACAAAATTAATAAAAAGAATACATTTTAAAATGTTGTTCACCGCGGGTTAAAATCTAGTTTAGTTAATTTTAGATGGTTCTACATCCGTCATTTATATTGTAAAAAAAAAATCATAAAATTATGATTTACAAGTTATCTAAAATAATCAAAAATGTATTAAAAGTTTAATATTTACGGATTATCTAAGAGATATTCATACCCGGAAAGCTCTAAAGTATGTTTATACAAAAATAATCTTAATTAAGTTTTAATTATTTGCCAATAACATATTTGCATTTCTTGTAAAGAAGTATTGAAACAAACGTTAATATATTTAAAAATGTTAATATAAATAACTCAACATTCGTAAACCAAAATACCAAAACCGAATTTGATATTTAAAACCTTAAACTAAACCGAAACCGGTCTCTACAAAACCGGGTCTTCTTGGGTTTAACAAGAGAGAAGTGATAAACCCTTTCCCATGGCTGCTTCTGCAACCTAAATGGCTCCTTCAATCTCTCTTCTTCTCATCAGACGCATCTCTCTCTTCCACATAAACCCTAAAAGCCGCCGACTTTTCCAACCATTTCCGGCGAAATCATTCTCTTCTTCTCCACAAAGCAAGCCTGAATCAACCCTCGAACCTAATCACAAACCCTCTTCTCTCTCTTCTCGTCTAAGCTTCGTATTCGATCAAATTGATGCTATTGAGAAACGTCACTCTGAACAAGACGAAACCCTTGAGCGTATTCGTGCTTGGCGTCAATCTAAACAGACCCATCAGTCAAAAACACCATCTTTTGCTCCACAAGATCCGGATCCTGAAGAAGTTGAATCAGTAGTGGCTAATGAGGAATTGGTCACTTGTGTTGTGGCTGAGCCGAGTCAGATTGATTCTGGCGAGGTGAATAAGGAGAAAGGTGTGGTTGAGTTGGTGCATCCATGGCCGGAGTGGATGGAGTTGATGGAGAGGCTTTTGAAGCAAAATTACTTTGATCATAGGAGAGAAAGAGATGAAGATGAGATGGTGAATTGTTTGGGGATTGATGTGTCTAATGTGAGATTAGGTGAAGAAGACAAGGTTGGAGTTGCTTTGTTTCAGGATTTTAGAGCTGTTCAAAACGCTTGTATCAATTTTGGAAAGGATCGGTTCGATATTCTAAGGTTTGTTCATATTTTGAATATAGCAAGTTAACATTTTTATTGGTCTGATATGAATTCGAGAGTGATTAAGTTTAGCTATTGTTCCAATTTCACAACTTTTAGTTTAACTCATTTGCCATTAGCTTATTATGTTTATAGTGTAGTGTACTATCTAGTGGCGTTTGAGTAGTTTGGTTGTTAAGATTAAAGATACTGAGGAGGGTAAAATCTACTTAGTTGTGCTTATGTGTGAGTATATTTCCTCAGGTCGTTGTCGAGAAATGATATTCAAATCCTTGTTGGCCATGGATGTCCAGCGACTGATAGAAAGGTGGTTTTCTCGGGCAAACTACTGAGGAAGCGTGTCCATCTCGATGAAGGAGATGTAAGAAGTTTTAAATATGTTATATACATACTAAATTTGTGCTTCTATGAACTTGTGTGGTTTAGTAATTAGAACGTTGATTCTGGCCACTTGTTCTATCATTCAACTAGATGCCTAGCTACGAGTCATCTCATACCCTTTGGTTTTGGTAGGGAATGAATAATAAGGGATGGTACAAATAGGTGGAAAGAAGAATAGATTATGAGTCTTTGGCATATTGGTTGTATGGGAGCTTAGGACGTTGGGATCATTGGTACCTTTGTATGGTTTTGTCATTGGTTCTACAATTTAACGTCGATCCAGGGATAATAGAAGAGGGCTTCATTACTGTTCTTCAGAAATTAGTTTCCAAATTTAACAATTTTTCTCCTAGTTTGGTTGGAGTATTGGGCTTTGGCTATTTTCTTGGGTTTCATCAAGTCTCTTTTGTTAGTCTTACTGTTTTCTTCCTCTGGAGATTTCCGATAATTTCCTAACTTGTTTACTATCAATAGGTTCTTCAGATTGTAATATTCATTCATATATTAGGTCTGCAGTTCCTGCAGCTTGAGGAACTCATGCGAAAAGGCGTTTTTGTTAACAAACAAAGAGGATGAGGCTCGAACCATTGATCTCATGCGCATTTTGTTCACCTATGGTTTTGACCCATTGAATGGAACAGTGGCCAACAAAAGTCTCCTTAAAAAAAAGTCTGTCAAGACTGTGGTGCGTAAACTGCTGCACGAGATTGTTAAGTTGAGCAGTGTACCAATAGATCCTAATCTTACTCCACCAGTTATCAAAAGAGCACCCCCTAAAGTCAAGCAGCCACCGCCTCCTCCAAAGCGACGTGTTGGTCGTGATGACGTTGAGATGAAGAAAGGAGATTGGCTGTGTCCAAAGTAAGTCCCACCTTTCTTTTCTGTTGACCTCATGGTTTTCTTTTCAAGCCTATATAATGGTCCTACCATAAGAACTATAGAGTAGATGCACAGCCTACGCCTTGCACAGAAGCTTAAAGTTTTCAAGCCTTTCGTCATTGTTCTACTTGTTACACTAAGAAAACGTCTTCTCATTCCAAGGCGTTGAACATAGCATATATCTTAGAATATATCCTGGTTTCCAGGCGACAATGAACATTAGTTATAGATGAAGTTAGGTGAGATCTATAAAATTCTTCTACATTTGATCTTAACCCATTTAAATAGATTGGTTGTTACTTGTAGGTGAGGTCTAATGAATTTCATATAAATCATCATTTTTTTATTAGATTATAAAATTTTGGACTTTGAGGCCTAACAATTCATAAATCTTGCAAAGAACACTAATTTCAGCAGCAGCTAGGCGCATCTTTTGTTCTATATTTCTAGTTTGTCATTTTTCCTGAGATGTTTAATACCACTTCATTTTTTGTTCTCAGGTGCGATTTCATGAATTTCGCAAAGAACACAATTTGCTTACAGTGTGATGCAAAAAGGCCAAAGCGACAGCTCCTTCCAGGAGAATGGGAATGCCCTGAGTAAGTTGCTATGCGTTTTGGGAATTATGAAATTCGAGAAATTTTATGTCATGGAACTGATCCTAATGCTTGCTGTTATGGCAGATGCAACTTCTTAAACTATAGGAGAAACATGGCATGTTTCCATTGTGATTGCAAGCGTCCAGCGGATGCTATCTTAGAAAACAAAGCACAAGATACACATCGCTTCACTGAAGCACAAAATGACAGGGTTGTGAAGCGAGATGATGTTTCAAATGCATGGAACTTTGATTTTGATGATGATGAATCAGACGGGGCAGAAGTTGCTGCGTTTGAGTACGCGGATTCCAGCAAAAAGAATGAAAACCTTCTCCGGGAGGGTATGAGAGATCCTGAAGAAGAATTTGGTAATCTTCCTCCAGGAGCCCGAGAAAGTTCTGAGTTTGGCAGAAGCAGAAGACCTGGAGTTGGGTTTGATGATTTTGACGATGAAGATGACATTGATAGCTATGAAATAGATGAATCTGGAGAGAGAGAGGTCCCGGTTGAAGGAGCTCGATCTTCTTTTGCTTCTGACGAGTTCTCAGAGGATGAACACTTTCCGGAATCAAAGACTGGCTTTAATGCACACAGAGGAGGAAGTTCAAACCTTCACAACAGTAGAAAGAAACATGGAAACGGTAAGGGAGGTTTCTCCACGGATGATGAGCTCGGTTTCGGTTCAGATGATGAGGTATCCGCCAATCCCAGGTGGAAATCAAGCCATGTTGCCTCCACCCAGAGAGGTCCACCTATGAGAAAACCTACTTTTGGGTCAGACGAAGAATTTGGGCTTGATTCTGATCTGGAGGACGATGGTCCCAGGTCTAGTTTTAGGCGTGGACAAAGAAACAACGGTGGTAAAGGAGGTTTCAAGGGAAAACGAAGCTCCTATTCAGCTTCGGAGTCTGATGATGACATGGATGATCAAGAGTACAGAGGATCAAGTTTCTCTGGTAATAGATCGAGAGGAAGCAGGGGAAGAATGAGAGGTGGGCGGGGTGGTTTCAACGATAATTATGCGTCTGATAGCTATAGGGGATCAAGTGGCTCCTCGGCTAACAGATCAAGAGGGAGAGGGGGAAGAACAGGAAGCAGAAGTAGTTATGGTAGTGATGATGAAGATTTCAGAGGCTCCTCAGCTAACAGATCAAGAGGGAGAGGGGGAAGAACTGGAAACAGAAGTAGTTTTGGTAGTGACGATGAAGATTACAGAGGTTCAAGTTCCCAAGCTAGTAGATCAAGAGGGAACAGAGAAGATAGTGGCGGGTTTGGGGGAAGAATGGGAAGCAGAAGAGGTGGTTTTGATGATGAGTTTGATAGAAAGAGCAGCCGAGGACGTGGTTCTGGTAGTTTCAGGGGATCTAACAGAGGAGGAAGAGGAGGACGAGGAGGAGGAGGAAACCGGCATGGGCATAGTGATGGTAAAGACACTGACATTGGAGATTTCAGAAACAGTCGAAGAGTTATCGAAAGATAGAGATGTAAACTGACATCATCAGATTATTTTAGACCTCTGAGAGATCATAGCCACTTTGCTATAGTGTATCAGTTCAGTTATAACATCATCAGTGTCATTTTATGTTGTTGACACATGAGAGTTTTGGGTGAGTTCAGTTATAGAAGCTTCAAAACACATTTCTGCAAATCTCTCCCTTTCTAGTTTAGACAACAGCTCTCTGGGCAAAGACACGTCCGTGATTGTTTACATTTTTGAGGCAGAAGAGAAGAGCCAAAATGATCCAATGCTTAGGAAGGCTTTGTAATAATTTCTTGCTAAGAGCAAAAAGACAAAAAAAATAGATAAAGTTAACAAACTGTTGGAATCTCTATAGCCAAGCCAACTTTCCATTAATATGATATTGTCCGCTTTGGGCTTATCACTCAAGCCCGCACGGATTTGTTGGGTTTTTCCCAAAAGGCCTCATACTAATTGGAGTTGGACTTAACTTATATATTAGAAACTTCTCTTTCTAATCTTCCGATGTGGGATATTGGTTTGTATTCCAATACTCCCTCTCAAACCAATATCCATTCCCCTAGGTCCACAATCTTAACTAGGCTCTGATACCAATTGTTGGAATCTCTATAACCAAGCCAACTTTCCATTAGTATGATATTGTCCGCTTTGGGCTTATCACTCAAGCCCGCACGGATTTGTTGGGTTTTTCCCAAAAGGCCTCATACTAATTGGAGTTGGACTTAACTTATATATTAGAAACTTCTCTTTCTAATCTTCCGATGTGGGATATTGGTTTGTATTCCAATACAAACTATGTGTAAAATAATAACAATCTACAACAATAGTTTGGAGAGTTTAATCTTTCATTACTCTTCTCTTCAGAAAATTGTGTACAGTAAAACCATTATAAATTAATTAACACAATTCAATAAGATAGATAATATATGTTTTTAAAAATCCCTATGTAAATATATGGTCTCATTATATATGTATATTAGAAAATTTAGTGAAATATGATTATATTGTTGTTGTTATTTTCTTCAATTTACATTTTTGATGGAATAAATTGCTAATTTTTCTAATTTTCCTCTTGTTACTTATAAATTTTTTTTTGAGAATTTTTGAGAAATACCCCTTTGGTGTACTCCTTTCTAAAAATACCCCATTTTTCTATCCATTTTCAAAAATACCCCTTTTTAAATATAAAAAATTATAAAGTTTTATATAGTTTATAAGGTACTTCTATATAATAACTACTACTGGGAGATTCGATACAAATATTTTAAAATATTTTAAATAGTTTTAAATCGTTTTTATAAGTTTTATAAGGTTTTAAAAAGGTTTTTGTAAGGGTTTATACGGTTTTTATAAGGGTTTATACGGTTTTTATAAGGTTTTTATAAGGTTTTTATAATTTATTTTACGCTATTTATGAAAGGTATATAAAATTTTATACACATATAAAAGTAATTTGTGTATATATTTATAAGCTTACACACATATTTGGATAAATTTCAACATTTTTAGTGGGGTTTTTGATAAAGTTTGAAAATGGGGTATTTTTAAAAAGAGGTATATGAAAAGGGGTATTTTTGAAATTCCCCTTTTTTTTGTATTATAGTTCATGTATTAGGGAAAAATTGAAGTTAGAAATTTTTTGAGATGTGGTCCTTTTGTTTTTTGTAACGAATAAGCATATTGATAGTTAGGAAACTCAATCATTCCAAATTTATGATTGATATATTAACATTATCTCAATAAATAAATATTAAGAAAATATTTTAGGGACTGAAAAAATCATATAAATATGATAATTACGGTTTCTGAGGCACAATTCTCAAAAATATCATTAAAATGGTATTTTCACAAAAATACCATTGTTAGTTTTATTTTACAAAAATAACATTAATATATATTTTTTCCAAAAGAATGTAAAAGCGGACTCTTTGGCTCGTTATGTGCGATCTCCGCAGTTTGTCAAGTACGTTAACAATTGTCCTTTGAGTTGCACCATTGAGCTAATTTAGAACCTTTCTGATGTAAAATATATATATATATATATATATATATATATTCTCCAAAAATACCACAAAATTATAACTAAACTTTAAAATTTATAACTAAAACATAAACCCTAAATCTAAAATAGTTAACCCAAACAAAAAAAATATTATATCTTTTGTGCTAAATTTGGAAAAACAAAACTTTTTGTATAATAAAACCTTTGTAATATCTTTTAAAAATAATCAAGGATTCATATTTTGGAAGTTCCATACAGCGGTAACCCGACTCTATTATGTAAAGTTGTAGACCAAAAGTGTTAAATTGTTCTTCGTTTATAAATATATCAGCTAAATAAGATTTATTTTTTAAAGTGGAAATTTTTTTTGAATTGATACCAATACTTGCTATCTTTGATACCAATTTAGACATAGTTTAACTTGGTCAAGACTATTTTTATTTAGTCTAGTTATATTGGAACATACTTTGTACATTTAAATTTAATTTAGTTTCATTGTAATGATACGCAATAAATTAACCTTAAACCATTTTTGTTTTCTCATTTGACATTTACATTAAAATGATCCATCCAAAAGCTCCATCTGAATAGAGTATCTTAATGGTGTTCGTTTATATATTTGGTGGTTAATTTAGATAGATGCATTTGAATGTAAATTTGTTTGCTTGGTTCACCATATTCTTATCTCTATGTTTTTAAGAGAAGAAAAAAAAAACTTAAACGCCGGCAAGGAATCCGGCAAAAAACGCAGTAAAAGATGATGATTCATACTAAACATTCTCCTTTCTTTTCAGAGTAAACTATCTACCTTTTTTTTGTCTAAGCAACAAGAGAGCGATGACGATGTAATGATCAAAATTAATTATGGATATTTTAGACATTTGTTTTGCTAAACCAACTACAAGCAAATGCACCGATTAGACTCGCCGGATTTTTCACATTTTTGGATGAGTTTAATAAAAGTCACCAACTGATATATATAAATTATCCGTTAAATTGTCAAAAATAAACATCATTTTTTTCCATACAATGGACCATTTGAATAACAAATGAACAAGACATTGTTAGACTTTTTGTTTTTGAATATAAATTTATTCAACCAAAAAAAAACTTTCTTTGTATGCAACCTATTCTTAAACTCTTTAGATGAGAAGTTGAGAAACAAAATTTGAATAGAACAAAACACTCTTTAAATATATTTAAAAGCCAAACCAAAGCACCAGCCCATTAGCCATATGCTTTGATCTTGGTGTTTGGAGAGAACAAAACTTGTTTCAAAAATGTTCTATCAATAGCCTTACTGAGAATAAATGAAGAGTTTGCACTTTCACCATTAGCCATATGCTTTGATCTTGGTGTTTGTATTCTCTAGCTCCGCTCACGCCTAATGAAATGAATTGCAGTTTGAAAAAAAAAATTGTGAGATTTAGTTTTTCCAATATCTCAAATTAGTGAACCTTAAATCACATTCAGCCAAACATCCAAAATTTAATCCAACATTTACTTGCTAGAATAGTGATTTCATATACTCATATTATCCGTACCTTACTTAACTCAAATGTTCTTATTACTAAACTTTAGCCAATTATAAATCTCAACTACTATATTACACAAAAAAATTTACCAGAAAATACGTTTTATTTAGCAAATTCCTTAAGTAATGGATTATTTTAAAAACAATACCCAACTCCGAGGATCATTTTATAATTTACCCACAATTTCAAAATGTAAAACAAATTATTTAAAAAAAACAAACCAAAAAATAAAGCTCATATCCCCATTCTTTATAATAAAGTCATAATGAATTCCCCATAATCTTTTGCCTTTCCCAACACACACTCCTGTCTCTCTTCATCTCTCTCTCTCTCTCTCTTTCTCTTCAAAGATCTCACAACTTCTCTTCTCTGTTCTGTAATGGCAACAGAAGAAATGAAACCAGAAACTAAACAAATCATCAAAGAAGACCTTCCTCTTCCGACCATACCATCATCTCTTCCACTTCCATACAAGGTATATATATATACTTAACCCTAAACCCTTTTACATGCACATAACATATTAAACTTCAAAGTCTTGAGTTTTTGTACTTTTGTAGTTATCTACTTTGAAAGTTTCAATTCACTGTGAAGGCTGCAAAAGAAAAGTTAAAAAGATCCTTACTAGCATTGAAGGTAACATGTTTACATACATACACATCAAATCTTTATTTTTTTATACGTACTTAAGTGTAATATTTTTGGTTATATAGGTGTTTATAAAGTGGACATTGATGTGAAAGAACATAAAGTAACAGTACTAGGTATTGTCTCACCGGAGATTATGTTAAAGAAGCTTCACAAAGCTGGTAAAAACGCTGAACTAGTACCGGAGATACCCGACCCGGTTGAAACCAAACCCGACGACCCGAAAGAGAAGAACAAGAACAAGAACAAGAAGAAGAAAGAAGAGAAAGTGCAAATAACTCATGAAGCTGAAGCTACTGTTAAACCGGAAAAAACCGAACCCGGTAAGTGTGATAAACCGGTTTCTGATAAAACCGACGGTGGTGAAAATGCTCCGGTGAAAGAGGAGAAAAAGGACGTTCAAGAAAAGAAAGATTCTGTTAAGGAAGAAGAATCTCCGGTACCACCAACGGATTCACCACCGGAGGATTCTCCGGCACCGGCGGCGGAGAAGAAAGCTGAAGTAACCGGTGAAGCTGGTAATGGCAAAGTTGGTAAAAAGAAGAAAAAGAAAGGGCAAAACTCGAACACTCCTCACAATCCTACCGGTGGACCTGCGCGTACTCAATCACTTCCTCCTCCCACTACAGAAGATCAAGACCGTTCATCTAATCATATTCCAACCAATAACAATCCGCCACGTCACGATATGTATCATTATCCTGCGCCAAACTACTATGCGCCGCAAGTCATGTACGGCGTAAGTTATAACGTTGCGCAGCCTCCGTTAAGTGTAGACGCTGCGTCGTATTATACACCACCACCGCCGTACTCGTACGCTTACATGCACCATAATTATCAACCGTACGATCAAAACGCGTATCCATCTCGACCGTCGGATTCGTATGAGTTGTTCAGCGACGAGAATCCAAGTGGTTGCTCGGTTATGTGATGGTGAATTACCAAAAGGACCTTGAACTTTACTTATACGCCTTGTATGACTCAAGGGTGGTTTCGTAATTTAAGTTATACACGTGCATGTTAGCTTAATGAGAGTCTTTTTTAATGTTGTTGTATTAGTTTTGGTCTATAACTATGATTATGTTTAGATAAAGATTAAGCTTTTGTTTTTATTACTTTCGCAGCTTTTAATAACTTTTTGCTCTATTTTTAAAATTCATCTATATGTATGCTTTTGTTTTTTTTTCGTTTTTCTTTTTTGCTTATTGACTAGATCTTTTAATTTTTAGAGTTTTTAAAACGACAAAAATAAATATGAGTTTGTTGTTAAGTTATAATGTGTCGATGATCCAAATGCTAATATTTCAATTGGTAAAAAGTTCTAGCAAATGTCTAGAGGTCGTCGGTTCGATCGAATTGAAAGGATATATAAGTTTCGGCTTAAAACCTCTTAGTTATTCAAATATATATATAACGTCGATGACAAGAAAGCGAGAAATGTGGAAGATGCAATGCTTAGTTGTAATGGGGAAAGTGTGATGTGTAAAGTGTAGAAGCTGATTGTGCATTTTGTTTTTGTGTTTTTCCTTTATTATAGTGACATATCTTAATTACTTAATTATGGAGGAAATTAATTGATAGCTTTATTTTGTTTGCTTCTTTAGTTTTATGTATTTTAGTGACAAACCATGACATGGACTTCTTTAATTTGGTGATTTAACACTTCCAAATTTCTTGAAAATCTTAACTATTATAAGTTGACAAAATTTGAGTTGGATTAATTAGCTTACTTTTTCAAAATTCTATTATGCTAATGTTCGCGTTGTTAGTTAGTCGATGGATTCACCTCATTTTATTGGTTGAATTTACGAGATTTTTAATTTTATTTTTCAAACATATTTATAAGGTTTTGAAGTTTTTATGCGTGTTTAATCGAATTGTTCTAGTGAAAAAGACAATGACACCATGTATAAGTTTTTAATTGGGCATTTTGATATTTCTGTTTTTGTTTTCTTTTCTTATAGTGACATTTCTTAATTACTTGGGAAATTAGTGTATAGTTCTTTTCTCTTTGAGTTTTGGAAACAAACCATGACATTTAGTTCTTTCATTTGCTAATTTAACACTTCCAAATTCCTAAAAGAACCTTTAATAAGTTGATTTAATTAACTTACTTTTACAAAATCTATTATGCTAATGTTCACACTATTAGTTAATACCTAAAATTGTCGACGACTTCAACTCGTTTTATTGGTTGAATTTACGAAAATTCTTTATTTTACTTTCGTTTTTTTTTTATATATAAATTCGATCGAATTGTTCTAGTGACATAGACTATAAAACCATATATTATGTGATTTAGCTACAACAAAATGAAATTTCTGTTTTAGAGAGTATTTAACTTCCTTTTTTTTGTCAAAATATTAGGATAATATAGCCACACACTTTAGAAGTAATTAGGACATAGCTAGTTCCCCAAACTCTTGTTCTACGGGAAAGTCTCTTAAAACGAATCATGTTAATGCAATGGTTGAAAAAAATGAACCTATGAAGCCACAATGGTCTTGGTGTTTGTTTTTCCAAAACGTTTTGCCACAATGATGTGTGAAAAATACAAGTCTCAACAATAATATCAGTTACCATAAACACACAATAAATAAGTTTTTGTTGTCATCTCATTATCGCTTTAATCAAACTACAGAAAATAAAAAACTTGGGGCAAAGAGACATGCAATTTAAGTGATCTTGACCATTCAAAAAAAAAAAAATCACAAATCTCATTGTCAAAACATTTATTGTGCATGCGAAAATTAAAGACTCATATGTATACGTAACTTCTAACTTTTTCGTTATACCAAAAGACTTCGATAAATGTAAAATTATTATTACTATAAAATAAAACAAAAATAAAAGCTGAAAATGTGCAATGCTCGAGAAGAAGAAAAAGTAAGAGAGGTGTAACTCTACTCTACAAATTTACATTATTCATTTCTTATTTTTTTATATTTATTAAATGACGTCAGAAATATATGTTTACTTAAATAATTTAAATTTTGAGGATTCTTACTGATTTTGCCATTTTCTAGGGCAAATTTTATGTATGTGCTATTTTTGCTAAAATTTTGTGGATTTGTCATTTTTGAACTTTCAAAGTTGTTTATCTTTTCGATTTTTTTGCCTAAAAAACTTAATTTATAGTAAATACTAAGGGGGTGTTATTCAACCTTGTATTTTAATTGATTTGGATGTATTTCAAAATCTAGCGTTATTTAATAATGTATTTTAAAAACCACAATAAAATCTGCTGTTATTGGATTTAACATTTGTTGGATGTATTTTAAAGTACTTTAAAACAAGCGTTATTCAATTTTCAATGGATTTTGTTTCATTTAAGATTTTAATGTATTTTACATCTAAAACACGTACAAACACAATCCTAACAATTTTCAAAGTATTTCATCTCTTTCAGCCCAAATCCATCTTAATATTTAAAAGCTATTGAACTTTAAAATCCACCAGTAATTAAAATCCCTTAAAATTCTTCATCCAATAACACCCCCTAAACCCTAAAGACAATTAGAACCGATTAAACTCAAATATAATGAGTAAAATCGAATTTACATTAAAATCGAATTGGAGAAAAAAAAGAGTAGGAGATCTAGGTGTAAGTAACTCTACTCTACAAATTTACATTATTCATTTCTCAATTTTGTCTATTTATTAAATGACGACGTCAGAAATATATATTTACTTAAATGATTTTAAATTCTGTCCTTTTCATTCAAACATGTTTTGTATCAAAATTTATGTTACTAAAATCAATGTAAGAACCTTGACTAGTCGTCACACGACTAGACTGTGACAAAACATAAAATGTTAAGTTTTGTTTGATTTTATAGAACTACGAATAAAAACAAATGAACAAAGACAAGAAGTATAACAAACAGTTTTCACGTAAAAACTTATTAAATTAACTTGTACTTGTTACATTTTGAATAATCAACCGTAGGTATAATCTAGTTTATAATCAAATTTTTGGAATCCCAAAAACGTGATTATAAAAGTGTAATTTAACTTTGAGAAATGATCCATGGGCTTGGGGATTGTATTGTATGGTTTCATCATCTAATAGTTATTCAAAATATAGTAAACTGAAAATTAAAAACGAAGTTATTAGATCTAGTAGTTGTAATAACTATTTTATTGGAAAAAGGAGAGAAACTATATTAAAGTAAGCAATATAATTACTTGTTTTATAATAGTGATTAGTTCTACATAATCATTATTCCGATGTCGTCCAGCGGTTAGGATATCTGGCTTTCACCCAGGAGACCCGGGTTCGATTCCCGGCATCGGAGCTTTTTTTTAAGCCTTGTGTATTTATGAGTATTTAATTACAATTATTTATAAATTCATATGATTAATTATTTTATTAAGAGTAATAAAGGAGAAACATCTAATGAACCTAGTTGAATTTGAATGTAATGGTAGTGATCAGTAAACAAACTCATCATCATTTTCATAGTTAAAAACAAATGTTTATTTATCTTATTTTTTCCAAATTAAAAATAATGATTTATCATCTAAAAATTCAAATATTGATTAAGCATGAAACTAAATGTAACTGATAAAAAAAACTACTATTAACTGATGACCAAAAAAAAGAAAAAACTACTTTTAACTCTTAAGTACTACAAACGATATAAATTTAATCAAAAGTACAATTAATTAGTTATGTATGAACTTATTTAGTATTTGCATTGTACAAATCAAACTCTATGGTTACTAGTTAACTTTAAACGTTTTTTTTTTTTTAAAATGAATATATTTTTATTTAAATAATAAATTTATATTGCAAATATCAGCAAAATGTTCAATGGTCAGCTTTAATTGATCGTTCTAAGTGACTGAAATCTAAAAAGCCTAAACATAAGTTATTTCGTTTAAGTAAATTTACATTCTAAAATATTTTACAATTTGGTGCAACATATGAAGTGTGTGTGACAAAAGAGTTGATACAAACTACAATAGAGAGGCAAGTGTGTGTGACATGTACAAGCGTTTGTTTGTGACAAAAGAACTGTTGCTAAAGATTTGATACATTATAAAGAAGATTCACGAAGAAAGAAAAGTGTCATGTGGGCTTAGAAACCATTAAAGAAGTCACATATCCTTGTTTCATATAGAAATAGAAGTATGTAGAAACCTAAGCTTGTAGTGTTTTGGGTTCTTTCTCTTTGAGGAGTATTACAAAGAATGATGGAATACAGTCGTAATCGACAAAGGTTCCTAGCCTAGGGTTTGCAGAGAGAAGCATATATGTGTGTGTAATGTAGCGCAATCAAAACATATAAAGAGACCTATTGGTGGATTTCTTGAAGGATCTACATGTAAGAAATATTTTACTTTTCTTTTTTTGGCTCAACATCAACTTTTCATTAACCAAATCAAAATTACAAATCATTCGACCTCGACAAATTTCACCCAAATACAATGACTCAGTCTAGTATCACCCTGAAACACTAAGTTGGATCCAACCGAAAATCATTGTATTTTTTCAACCACTGCGAGATGAATAACCCACGCGATTCTAAGTGAAATCATCTCTTAAACCATCTAAATTGACCCTATTGTCACAAAAACAACTACTAGCATAGAGAAGACCAAAACCTAAACTGAATTACAAATTAATTCCAAACTATTAGTCCTTCGTGATCGTAATGTAGAAATATTTTACTTCTCTATAATGCGATCGTATAGTCGTAAGTGGTCTACCAAAATTGTTAGTCCACAACATATAGTTGGTAAATTAGTTTTCCGTGTGTGCAGGCCTGGCTCAAATGGGTAGAACAGAGGGGCAGTGGCCCAAGGGCCATCAACATTTAAAAAATAGATATATTTTTGTAAAAGGGATCCATTTATTAGAGAAAAAATAAGAATAGGCCCACGATACATATGTTTGATAGAAACTAAAACTTTTTTCCAGAAAAATTATGTAAATTTATGGTCAAACAAAATAATTATTATTCTAAGTGAGATCTAAAATATCAATATCTTTTTCTTTAAATCTGTTAAAGCGCCAAAAAAGTTTTGTTTCCCCTAGGATCCTAAATTTTTTGAGCCAAGGCTGCGCTCGTGAACAAGTGTGGCGAAAACGCAAGGAAATGCATGACAA